TCTTCCTTTTTATGGCTAACTAGCATTACACGGCAGTTTCTATTTCTTGGCTATTATGAAGAATTATTACATAATATTGCTATTATTACAGCAAACATGAGAATGCAGGTATCTAACATATTGATTTTATTTTCTCTGGATATATACCTAGTAGTGGGATTGATGGATCATTTTATAGTTTTAATTTTTTGAAGAACCTTGAGTTTTCAATAATTCATGTACTAATATATATATTTTCACATACAGTATACACAGTTCCCTTTTCTCTACATCCTCATCAGTATTTATCTTTTGGCTTTTTGTAACAGTCATTCTTACTGGACTTCAGTGGTATCTCATTATGATTTTGTTTCTCTGAAGACTAATAATGATGGGTACTTTTTCATATACTTGTTGGCTTTTTGTATGTCTTTAGAGAAATGTTTATTTATGTTGCTCACTTTAAGACTTTTTTTGGCTATTGAGTTTTTAAGAGTTCCTTATATATTCTGGACATTTAAGACATTGTCAGATGTGTAGATTTTAGGTATTTCATTCTATAGGTTTGTCTCTTCACTGTGATGATTTTTTGCTTTGATGTCTTTTTTTTTTTTAAGTAGGGTTAGTAGGCCAGTGAGACAGCTCAGCAGACTAAGCGCTTGCTTTGGCAAGTGCAGAGACCAGGGTTTGATCCCTGGTTCTGCATGCTGTACCAGTGACCAAGTCTGAGCTGCACACCAAATACATAAATGAAAAAAAAAATTAAAGTAGGGTTAACCATCTGGGTGTGGTGGCACAGTTCTGTAATCCCAGCATTTGGGAGGCTGAGGCAAGAATATTGGAGGATCCTTATCCTCCAATATTGTGAGTTGAAGACCAGCCTAGGCTACAAAGTGAGCTCAAGGCTAGCCTGAACTGCATAGTGAGACCTTGTCTCAAAAAAGACCAAAAAAAAAGTAGGGTTAACCATAGACAAAGAGTTTGAGAACTGGGTTCTAGCAACTGGTGTTCTAAAACTGTCTGACCCTGCCTCATGTAGATGTCTCCAGATCTTAAGTCTGTATGTTTTTAGTTTGTTTTGAGACAAGGTCTTGCTACATAGTATAGGCTGGCCTCAAACTCAGTAGGTAGACCAAGCTGGCCTTCAACTTGCCTTGATCTTCTTGTCTCAGCCTTCTGAATGCTGAGATGACAGGTGTGTGCCACTATACCCAGCTTAAGTTTGTACATTTTTACAGTGAGGGGTTTAGGCTAGCTCAGTGATTTTCAAATTCTTTTTATTATTAGTAAGACTACAAAAAATCCTATGTGGATATTCAATACTGAATATGTTACAGCTACTCCAGTTGATCTTTATAGAAGTGGGTCAGAAAGTTCTGTTTTAGACAAAAGATTCTTTGTGTACAGATGGGTAATGTGTTAATGGGACAATGTGGGAACAAGAGGTAAGGATGTGGGAACAAGCAAGTTAACATCATAGGCTATATTTTTATATATCAAAAATGAAGATAAAAGACTGGGTGGGGTGGTACACGCCTGTAATCCCAGTGCTTAGGAGGCTGAGAACAGGAGAATCACTACGAGTCTGATTTACGTAGTGAGACCCTGTAGGCCCTGTCCGAGATTCATCAAAAAAGAAATAAATAAAATAAAGCTGTTAGAAGAAATTAGAAAATGTTTTTTTCTGGATAGTCTTACATGAAATAATACAAAGTTATATGTATGTCAGCTTCAAAACAAGCCAGTACCTCATTATGTAGACACTGTCTGGGTTGATCTGTTCTAGTAGGTAGGTCAGATGAACATCCAGGGCCCTGACTTTGCCTGCTCATCTAAATAAATACATTCACTGCTGTAATACATTATTTGCCATTTTATTCTTGTCAAGAGGCCCTATGAGCTTGGTTGGGTCAAAGGTCATGCAGAAAACCAGCTTCCACTTTCTTTAATTATGCAAACTAGAGTGAGGTGACTGAAAACCTGAATTTAGTCTACAAGACTTCAGGAGTTTTGCAAGACCTAGGGGAGTGCAGAGTTTCCTGAAGATGTTGCAAAGTGGCTAGCCTTCTTCTGAAGTCATGCAATATTCTCCTTTGCTTTGGCTATGACTGCAGAGGTGCTGAGAGGCAAAACAAAAACTAGCAGCTTGGAGTGGGCTTTTCTCTATGGGTCCAGAGGCCAGGCTGTTTCACTGAGAGGAAAGAGCTTGTGTCTAATGATATTTTGATGTCATTCACCACGTTGGTTCTTCATTGGTAATCATTTTTCCAAAACAAATATTTCTCCACTCTGGTTAATTGCCAGTTCTAAATATGATGGTTAAACTTTCAAGGTCTTCATTCTTTAAGTGTAATTCTTCTAGCATGGTAGCTATAAACTGTGTAAATAACACATTTTTTTGAGAATGCGTCTGAATGCCAAGAGCTGAATTCAGTCTGAAACAATCAAAAATAAATGAGAAGAGTGAATGGACTCATCTTCAACATGGCAGGAAGGTCTGATGTCTCTGAGGTAACAACATTCCCAGAGAAAAGCTTTATTTAAAATGGCAGCAAAGTCTCAGGAAAAAAAGAACAAATATTGTTAAGAAAAGAGATCTGAAAATTGAGATCATGTTTTTATTATGTCAGTGAAGTCTACTAAAATTCTGTTTAGAAAATAAAGTGAATTTCCATTTAGAGAAGGGAAGATATAGAGAAGAGCTGAGTACTATTTTAAAGTAATTTATGTGGAATATTTGGATTATACTGTGAGAAAAAGATAATAAATGCAATTATTTTTACATGAATAACAGTGTGTTTTTAATAACACTAAATAAATGAACTATGTTTTCCGAGGCATTTAATACCAACTTGGTAAGCAAATCATATGCTTTTTCTCACTAATTATTTCTGGTAATAACTCTAAAGACTGAACTGATTGCATATAACGGAAGTTTTAAAGTAATTTTCACTGAAGTATAGTAAGCAAGATTTTTTTCCCATAATTTTATTGATAAACAAATAGCAATGAGACAGTTTCAAATCAAATTGGTAGGACAGTTTCAATAATTAACACAT